GTAGCAACTGCGAGCACCTGTAATTACCTTTTATTTACACACTTCAGCAAATACAGGAGAATTGATTAGTTTGACATACAAAGCCATAAATGTCATTTCTCCCCCCTAAAGTGGGGGCCAAACACCCACACGTTTCCTCAACAATTTTTGGAAAAAAGAACATGTGTTTTCAAACACAGGAAGAGAAATTGCCTGGTTGGCAAGCTGACATACGAAGAGCCCTACTTCACACACAAAGATTTCTCTCTGATCTGGCAATTATAGATCATCCCACCTCACCCCCACCCCCCCTTCGCTCGTTCCCCGGTCTTAGTGATCTTTTGATTGCAGCCTGAGAGAGACAGGCAGTATAAGAACCCTTCAATCTAGCTCTTAAGTGAGAAAATGCTGAAAATGTATTCAGTTCCCTCTGCTTTATGACTCATGAACAATGTAGGATGGTTGGGAAATTGTATTGATAACAGGGCATGCTGATATAGGGCAGGTTTAACACATGCAGCTTAGAATGAAATTGAAAAATGCGTTCCAGGCAGGAAATGAATTTTCAGCCATCTAAACCAAATTTTAATATGTATGCCTTTGTTTGTTACCTGGCACTCTGGGTTATAATTTTGAAGAAATCAGATAGACCTGATAAAACACACCTATTGTTGAAAAAAAAAATCTAAATGTGTTTTACATGTAGTATTTGAAATGATCCAAAGCATCATGCATACTCATCAGTCACTTTGTTGGATATTATGCTCCTGATTTTGTTCCTGTTCGACACATCTGAGACACCAGTAACATAAAAACAGTGGCCAACACCTCGAGAGGGTTAATAATGGACGCAGTTCTGCATCATGTAACACTGCTCTATTACTATTGTGGTGCTGTGATGCAGAACAGAAGGATTGTCTTGTTCTTGCAAAATGATCTCTCGTATACAAGCACTTAATCAATTGACAAATCGATAGCACGCACTAATATCTTTGCCCTATTTGTCATTTCTGTTTGTTCTTTACTTCACCACCGAGGCTCACTAAGTGCAGTGCGGCATCAACGCGCTATCGCAAAGTGTAAATGACAGAAATCTCTGAAGCATAAAACAGTGAGAAAGTGCATAAATACACTTGTAAAGAAATATTCACAATAATTTTTGATGTAACTATTATTTGACAAGAAAAGCAATTTTATCATCTGTTATAGGCTAACGCTATTTTGGAAGTGGTCTAAAACAGAAAAGCACAGTTTGGTATTTGCTACATAAATGTTGATCAAAAATATAACCGTGACACATCATGTAGTATTTGGTTATGTGATATGAAACCAGTGGTATGACTCTGTTGTGTGATGATCTGAACTATACAAAAAAAACAGAACGCAGATAAGCATCCAACGGATGTTCTTGGAGCCCAATATAAAAGTCCTTTTACTGTGTTGCAGTAACCTTGCAATAACCACCACGTTTTACTAAATGCTAATTACTTTTTAAGTGACACAGTCTTAACATAGGCAGAGACACAGGCAGCAGAGTATAAAATTTATCGGCTAAAGGTTAAAAAAAAGTGAGAGCTGCATGTGCTTAATGTTAGAAAAAAGACAGAAAAATACAGTAGAGACTTGGCGGCTCTGCACAGCAATAGAAGCCAAACTGGCTGCTGGAAGAACAATTACTGGATACCCATCGGCAGCTTAGATGTAAATAAGAGTGAGCTGGTGCCTCAGCTGTCAGATACAGCACAACAGAGACAAGATCAGGCTTCAGTATACTGCAAAACTTATGTAATATTAACCATTTATTTCATTTCACCCTCAGTTTAAATTACGAATGACTCATCATTCATTCATTATAGATAGATAGATAGATAGATAGATAGATAGATAGATAGATAGATAGATAGATAGATAGATAGATAGATAGATAGATAGATAGATAGATAGATA